CACCCACCCTGCAGATATTTGTAGGCATTTCTAAGGTCCCCTCGCAGCCTTCTCTTCTCCAGGCTGAACAAGCCCAGCTCCCTCAGCCTCTCCTCGTAAGGGAGATGCTCCAGTCCCCTCACCATCCCAGCTCCGCAGCAAACAGATCACTTTGGGTTCAGATAAATCCAATAAAGAAATTCTCCTGTGTCAGCTCAGTCTGGAGGGGAGAGGGGACAACCCAGTGCGCCCACAGAGCCGCTCTGCTGCTGCCATCCCCTTTGGGTGTCCCCGGGGCACCCCAGTACTGCCAGGGCCGCATGAGGAGCGGGCAATGGGAACCAACACTTGAAGCAAAGAAGACAAGGGCAGCTGGGGAGGTGGCTGGAGGCCTGGCTGCCCAGCCTTTCCAGGAAGGCTTATCAGGAGAAAGCAGGTTTGCAATCTCCAGCCACTTCTCCAATCCAGATCTTGCTGCTGTTTGCGGTGACCCAGCCCGCAGCCCGTCAGCAGGGTCACTGGGGATGAACGGGGTCACCTGGTGTTGGGAAGGAAAACCCAGAGCTGCCTCTGGCCAGGGTGGGGGGACAAGGAGGGGATGGGATGGGTGGGAGCAGCCGCTTCAGCCTCCGGCAGGACCAGGAGTTGATGTTTTCTTCTCGTTCCAAGGGGCATCGAGGAAGGAAGCTGTCAGCAAGGCAGCTGCCAGGGAAACAGCTTTGTTTTTGTGTTTGGGTTTCTGAAACTTTGAGTGGAAACATTTATTTCAGGAGAAAACCAGCGTTGTCACTCAAAACCCATGGTCGTGCCAAAAAAGGCGTTTTGGGGGAAATGAGACGCTTCTGCTTGAGAAAACAACCAAAAGCAGCCCAGCTCGCCCTGGCAGCCGGCTCGGGAGCTGGGGAGCAGCAGTGCAGCAGGGATGGCTGTTCCTCATCCCAGTCCATCACCCCAGTCCATCATGACCGGGAGAGCATCCCGGTGGTCCCAACCGGTCCATCCGCAGGGGCTGATCCGCATTCACTCTACCCCCGTCCCTGGAGCCCGGCTCTGGCCCGGCCCCCTGCAGAGCCCCCCGGAGAGCTTTGGGCTCTGTGCACAGGGAAGGGGCTGTGCCCCCCGCTGGGACGGGCATCGTGGCAGAAGAACCCACTGCATTTTGGTGTTTCGCTCGGAACCAGAGGCTGTTTCAGAGAAAAAGCAGAGAGTCTCTCTATGAAACACCCCCAGCGTGAGTCACGGTCCCCGGGTGAAGGGGAGGAAGCGGCCGCCTTTAAAAAAGACATCCAGGGTCTGCACATAAACACTGCCCGAGGAAGTGACAGGAGAAGGAGGCTTCCAAAACTCCTGGGATGCCCGGATGCATGTGAACCTGGCTCCATCCCTCCGGGTGCTTCATGAGTAACCACGGGGAAAAATCTGCATGGGGAGCAAGCAGCTGGAAAATGAGGATTTTCCTGGTTTGGACCCTTTTCCCAGGTGAGACCCGGGGCACACAGCTCAGGCAGCTCCCACCCCATGGGCTCCGGCAGAGCTGCGGAGCGGCTGGGGCCGAGCCCCACCAGGAAACCCACGACAGTCACAGCCAAAGC